CAAATTTAGTTTTGTGACGTTCTACATACACATGTTAAGGCATCTTGATGGCCCCTGTCCATTGTTGTGTATTAAGGAACTTATGGGAAACTTCGTCTGGCTCTGGCACTTTTTAATTCAGTAACTGCCATTACATAAAATATTTGTAAAACCTTCTTAATTATACATTAAACCTCAAATATCAATTGAATGTTTTGTTTTTATCGTTCTAGAGTTTAAAAAGAAGTTACCAATATTGCGTAATTATGTAAATTATTTTAGGTGCAAGATTAGTTGGAAACATTTGCACTTTGATCAATGTACCCCGTTTTATACAATTCAGTAACTTTTATTATGTACAGTATACTTTATAGTGTGTACATATGATAAGGTATATTTTAACAAATACAGGACATCTTCGATATTCCTTAATTGTTAGCGTTTAATCCTTATTTAAACTCATAGTTACTAGCTTTAGTTTTTACCATGATACTAAATAGGTTTATGTGAGTTAGATAAGGTAGGTTTAATCTATATCTTGTGATTCCAAACAAATGGGCCGATCTAAAGTTTGACTCTGAAGTTAATGAATGAGAGAAATTTATTGTTGGGTCAAAGCTATATCGCCTGTAAGCTTTAAGACAAAAGTAGGTATTTTGTACTTTTTAAATACTACAAGTACACACACATATATATATATATATATATATATATATTTGGGGCTGTTATTCAATAAATTGCGTTAGTCACGGGATTATCCGTGTATGTAGGGGGTCTCCCGTGCCTGTGCGAGGCAAATTTTCCCTCGTAATGAGCTGAGATAACCATCCCAGCAGATGGGGCTTATACAAAAAACGATAAAAACATCCATTTTATGAATAAAACATGCGATGATCGAAAGCTCAATATTGACGATGGTTTTGGTTTGTTTTGTTAATTAATATGGTATGTTGCATATGATTTATTTAGATTAAAATTGTACCACTATAAACTTGATAGATATATAGGTATGAATTATGTAAAGCAAGTTGTAAACTTTTAAATAGGTAAACTTTTAACTAGTATTCATTTAATTAATATGTATGACAAAGTATGTTCTTTTCTGAATTGTCAGTTTTGATCTGAAATAAATATAAAGTACATTTTAGAAAAACACAGAATACTTTTCACTTCAAAATGTATTTATATATTTACATATTTATAAAATCACTCTAACTGGCGACCCTAAATTGACAAGAGTGCACAATAAGCGAATAAAATTTACAGACAAAAAGACAAATTAAAATATGAAATTAACGCGTACAAGAAAATACGCATTAACAAATATAATAGATATTTTACCAGTTCACTCAACGGACAATGAAAAAGATCCGTTAACCTATGTAATTTGTTAACTACATTTATACACCAAATCATATGTGCCCTTTTCAGATGGTTTGAAGAATTGCACGATGAAATATAACTTCTAACTTCTTATTCTAACGGTTAGACAACTATACTTAATCCCAATATGCCGACATTTTTTAAAACAAACACCGATCACATCACACACAACGCCTACATATAAGCTACCCAAAAAATGCACTGTCATCTTTAACCACTTCACAAATGTTCACTATCTACTCAAAACTTTATTCATTCACTAACAATATTTAGCAACATCTTCTAGACCTGTCCTATGCTCAAACCGAAAGTAGTCTTATTCAACAATAATTTAATTATATAATTGTAAGTGTTATTGTAGAATTTACTTTTATTTATTACTTCAGTACCAAAAATCATTAATATGTCAAATGGAAGAGACGAATCCTAGTGTCGGGCTAGTTCACTTCCTATTTTAACTACACATGCTTTTTTATGTGTAATAAAGGTTTTTTCTTTCATTCTTACATTTATATAATAATAGGTGATAGCTTCGAGAAGTACTTCTTTAAGTAATCTCGGTATACCAAACATAACATACATTTGGTTCAGATGTACTATACATACTGTACAAAAGTACATACTTGTTTCCGTTTTCTATCAGTACTTTGAGAATTTCCTATTAGAATAATTCAAAAGTATAGGTCTTGTGCTAGAGATCCAGGTCGATCTCTAATAACAAAGCGATTTTTTCATCTTAGTAGTACATTAAAGTCCTAGATGTTAAAAAGCAGTAATCCATAGTGCTGGATGTAGGTCGTCACACGAACTCTTGACTTCATTGTGGCGTGAGAGCACCCAAGAGAATGAACATAGCATATTCATCATCTTTGCTATTAATGGATTGAAAAAAGAGCTAAATGAAACATCTTTTTAGAAGCTAAACTTTTAATAAAATATGGTTCACATATTTTATTAAAAGTTTTTAGTAACGCTTTCATCGTTGTAATTAGCTTATCCATTGAGCCAAATTTACATTTGAAAAGAACTTTCAGTCCCTTTCTTGGTGACATTTACCAAAAACTTTTCAAATTATTTTTTTTATATTTTTTTCTATTTCAAGAGATTTTAAGACCGTAGCATACTGCAATATTTAAAGCAAAAGCTCCAAGTCAGATGTATTTCAGACTCTAACAAAAGACTTTCTTTTCAAGTGTTATCAGCTCCACAATCATAGAGCAAATAGTAGTCAACAGAATGACAGGTCATGTCCTAGATATCCTAGGTACTCAGCAAATGGTTAGGTTCAAAGGGCCCTTAGTAAACCACGCTATATGACCTGGAATCTAGGTCTTGATGTAACAATAGTACTCGGGGAAGTAGTTCATAGAAAACCATTGGTTGTGTGTTTATTAGTTGCTGTATACAATATTATATCTCAAAAATATTAATATGTTTTTAGTATGTTTTTTAACATACATTTTAATTGATTGACGCATAGAAGAGCTATAAAACTAAATATCTGGTCTATGTGGTAGAATGCTCTTAATGTTTGCAGCGTATTCCTGAAGTATTTGTATTGTAGTACACTCCCTGGGAGTCTGAGAGTGACTCCCACAGGGTCCAAACTTTTTAAATTTGTTAATAATTTCCTTTTTATTAATTATTAATTATTTTTCCTATTACTATGCAGGTTAAGAAAATTGTAAATACTGTTGTTATTATTACTAATAAACATTTATTATTAGTTTATCGTTTATATTTACAAGTTTAAACCAATAATTTCAGAGAAAACTCTACCGGTTTAAAACAATTTTTATCAAATCGATTCAGATTTAGTGAGGCATTGATGAGGTAAAGTACTTGAGGTGTACTTTTAAATTCATAAAATGATAATAAAAACATTTTATCCGATAGAGCGGTATAGTTTATATGTAAGCTTCGTAACACTAATAAAATGATTAATATCTATAAAATCCCTAACATTTTAAATTGGACATATTGAAATAAGCTCCAAATTAGAATTCAGTGATCAAACCAGATGCAGACTCAATTACCAAGTTCAAACAAAATATAAATAAATTGCGAGCAGCGTTTAGTTCGGCTATAACATCATTTCCGGCGGTTATTTATACCAAACATACCACCACTAATGATTTACAAACACCGTGTACCATGTTAATACTATTTATGTCTTCATTATGATTTGGAATGCCCAAATCATTATTGGTAAATAATATAAGTGAAACGTTGCCTATGTTTCAATCAATTATATTTTATTGCGAATGGAATGGACAGTTAGTAACATTTGTTTTAATAAGAGACAATATCTGGTTCTGCCTTTGCTACTCATGTCTGCAGTATAAAAACCTGGTAGTAAAATCCGATGTGATACATATGGAATACATATTGCTCTCAACTAAACGTTGATTAATATACACGCACACATTTCAAATCAGTCCTAAGCAGTCATTTTATGATTTGGCCATTCTGATAAACAATAAACTTGTACACCGATAGCTCCCACCTATTCAGGATCTTCAGGAGCTGAATTTGAGAGACTCGACCGCCCATGTTCGAAAAACTTGACGCTGGCATAATCGAGAAGTGATTTGACAGAAATTCAAAAGGCTGCCTAGGAATTGCCCAATTCTTTCCAGTGTTGTCATTGCGAGTTTATATAATAAACCCTGGATCTTCTGTATTTCAATTCGCAAACTATACAATATATTGGAATACATATTGCTACTCAACTAAACGTTGATTACGCCCATCATAAGACGCAGCTAGCATTTCTAAATTGGCCACATTTTATAATGACTAACACCTATTAGTGGGGCCCGTTATAATTTACATTGAAAAACTTGGCTACGCCACTGATGACAGCTTTTTATAAGTTATAGTAAGTTCGTATGAACATATATTTTAGTTTCATATATGTTAAGTGATAGCATTTTTATAGTATTAGAGTAATAGAGGTAAGTAGTACCTTTATATCCATGTGAATCTATTGTCTAATATCTAAGGCTAAACTGGTGATATCAAAGAGGAATTATTCTCTATATTGAAAACAATACCTTTGATTTGCATCTGTTCTGATCATAATTGGAAATCATGCTATTGACTAGTGGGTTATTTGTGGTGCTAATTAAAAATTATAAACTGTATAAAGGTTTAAAGGAGAATACTGTGTTATTTTAATTAAAATAACAGGCCCATATGATATTTGCACCAATGCCTGAAAATATTTTTAACTGATGCTATGAAATGCTTGTATCTAAGGATCACTTGTCCTCATTTTTTAATTGAATCGCGTTGAAAAAATATCAATATTACAATTTTTGCTAAAGTTTTTAATAATTAAAATATCTATGCTGTATTTATTTGCTTATTATGTTTTTTAGAACAAAGGTCAAACTTACCTGATATTCGTTACAGGAACCAGTCTCTTCTTGAAAGAACAAAAGTCGGTATAAACCTGACAGGCAAATTTGGAGCTTTATGTTTTAAAAAAAGCTCTTGGCTATATTAAACAGAAAAATAAAAATATATAACATAATTATTAAAATATTTATACAAGTTTTTTCTGTAATAAAAAAGTTAACTTGTAACTCGTAGTATTAAAAGGAAATCAACAAAAGACTCATCCATTAGCCAGTATGCAACGAAAAGAACTATTATTTGCATTATTCATAGTTTTTCCGGATGTCATTCTCAGTATGATGCAATCTGCTAAAAGCCTCACTCTCAAGAGGCTGCAACAACTGCCTGAAACGGTGCGTTTCACTCGATTGGAAACGCTGGGTATAGATTTTTGAATTTTAAACGTAAATCCCATTGCTAAAAGGTACTCAGTTCTCGGAAATAATACATTTTCCAGTGCTTTACAATATTTTATTCCGGGTAGCTGAAAATTAAATAAAAATGCTTAGTTCCAGTATAAAATACAGTTAGTATCAGGAAAAAGAAGGAATAATAAAAATAAAAGCGGAGTACCCTGATGTATAGGTCTCTCTAGACTTAGTTCAGGGGCTCCAATATCTGCTACAACAATGTAATTTGTTATTAATTAAAGAAATTTTGAATAAAAATAAGAATTATGTATGTAATTATTTGTTTTATTGAAATTGAAAGGTCGAACCTCCATCGCATTTTTACATTTATTTTGCAACAACCCGTGATCCTATGTCAAGTCTATCTAATATAATCTATGTCTAAGCAAGTAGGTGATCAATCTTCTGTGTCTGACACAAAACGTCGAATTTATGGGGCTTGCCGGTTTCCTCACGATGTTTTCCTTCACCGTACGAGCGACTGTTAAATGCGCACGTAGAATGTCCATTCGAACCTACGGCCCCAAGGATGAGAGTCGCTGTAGTCACTAGGCCAACACTCTTCTAAGATACTCGCATATCTATGCAATATGATTAGCTATTCTTTTACAGGTTCTTCTGAACATACTGAAACTACATACAGCTTTTATGCTATGTAATCATAATTTGAAATAATAAATCTAAAGTATGTTAACTTTTAACTCAATAAAAAATAATTATACATAAATCAACCCTTCTAAACAAGACTTCGATCATTTTAGCTTTAGTAAACTAAGTTTGTGACATTTTAAATTATATTATTAATAACTTTTCTTTCTCTTTTCAGCGCCGTCTGACGCAAAAATACAGCATTGCTGTGGGTGTACCAACTCTAGTCATCAGAGGGAGAGGGGTTCGAGACGCTCTGCTAAGTGACCCAACAGGGGAGGGGTTCCCCTGGCCAGCCCCACCGCTCAACGAGGTGCTAAGGGGCATTCAGCTACAGGGCGAGCAGTCTAAGCTGTATGAAGAATTACCTGCGAATGCTATTAGGGTGTTCTACTTTGCAGCTCATTGGGTGAGTTTTAAGAATATACTCGTAAGGAACAATATATCTAGGAACTAAGTGTGTACTGTACAATGGAGAGTTAAAAACCCTTTTAACTTTTTCAACCATTTTCGTTAAATAAATTTAGTACAACTCATTTTAATCTTGCACGGGATATACATAGTTTATTTGTATATGTATTAGAGGATTAAATTTCTCATATATTAATCCTCAGTGCCCGCCATGCCGATCGTTTGCGCCGAGTTTATGTTCAACGCTGTCAGCCGTCCGCAAGCGCAGAGCCAAATATGCGAACACGCAGCTTATACTCGTTTCCAGCGATCGGTAAGTAAACATAAATAATAAAAGTAAATTAATTTATATACTTCAATCTATACTCGGTACAAAAATGGATTTTAGCTCTTTAAACCATATTTAGGATAGAATCCTCGATTTTATATAAGATTGTGACTAAGTAACAAATTATAATTCAACTATAACTGGGTACTAAAAATAATTAATAAAATTAAAACTAATAATTCAAATAATTTAAATGGCAAAACAACGTTTACCGGGTTGTTTGCCATGTACATTGTACATTATTTCTAAGAAACTTTTTTTAGAGATCAATAAAAATAACTATCTACTATAATACAAAATTAAGGGTTTTATGTATTTTTGTAAGCTGTATCTAAAAAATAAAAACAAAATATTTTGTGTAAAAAATAAAAAAATTATTTAATAACCCTTAACATTTAGGGGGATGAAAAATAGACGTTGTCCGATTCACAGATCTATCCGATATGCACACAAAATTTCACAAAAATAGGTCGAGCCATTTCGGAGGAGTTTAATTACAAACACCATGACACGAGAATTAGATAAAACTTCTTAACAGAAACAAACTCGAAATATACACCATTTACATATCATGTCTAACATCAACTGTGATCAGCTAGACAGCAAAAGAAGTTTAATTTCATAATAATAGTGCTGGTATGTTGGTATCCCTAGGTGTTATCTTCTATTGGCAGGTGGCTAATGGATGGTGTCACTTGACACTCGACACCCCTCGTGTCGTAACGTTACCAAACACTTGCCCACGTCCACATGTTTATAATCACGAGGGTAGCTTAATGATGGAAGCACAGAGCACTGTGAATGAGGTTCCTTTGTTGTTAATTTAAAAGTTATATGGCAAAATACGTGGCTGATTTAATTACATAGCTAATATATAAAGTACGATAAATCAACAACACAAAAAAACAAGGGGATTCATTAGGGTGATTCGGGAGGAAGAAATGAAACTGACCAGCAAAACTGCAGTTTTTTATTAAGCAGCATTTTTGTTTTGTCTACAAAATATTTTCTAGCTAATTTCCTGTGAGTCAATAATTCACCCGTCGTTCAACTTTCCTCTGAGGTAATTTAATTCGTGTTAAACTTTACAATTGGGCGCCGGAAGTACAGGAAAACAAATGAATAACGATTGTTGGGCAAAGTTCTGTTTGCAAATTCCTCTTTTTCTTTACTCAAGCAACACAGCTAAACAAATACTCCTTAGTGTACTTTAAACTTTATTTCGTCTGAAGCTTTGTATTTGCATTTATTTTTTGTTAATGGTTTTTAACGATCTAAAATGTATTTTAGTTATTTACTGTATACAAAAAAGAATATAAACAAAGTGCTTATAAACTAGGTTACATATATTAAAAATGAAATCTTTGCACAATATAAGGTTGGCCTTATCGGATAATGCGATCTCTACTAGGCAGAGTACGAATTAAAAAAAGTAATTATATCACTTTTACTTAACTCTTTTGTTACATTTTTATGGGACATAGAAAATACGAGAACTTAGAATAAAGTGTTTTACACCCATCACTGCAAACCATCCAATGGTGATTTTAGTTAGGGCCTACTCTGTAATAAAAACAAGCATTAAAAATCGAGTGTTAAAAATAAGGTACCTATTAATAGGCTAGACCTAGGCTAGACCTTTCCAATGAGCATAATTCGCTGTCAATGACTCAAACATCAATTTAAGGATGCACTAAATTCATTTAAGAAAAATATCTAATCAGTATCCAAGCACACCGTTTTGATCATACCTAATTAAATTTCGATGCCTTTTCAAACTTTGCCGACGTCGTGGAAAAGTTATTGCCAGGTACTAAAGTCCCTACGGTTTTTATTACTTTTCATAAATTTTGCAAGTTAGGATTTATAATTTGTGTATGGATTTGACTCGTTTAAAGACATTCCAAATTATATTGACTGCGAGTAGTACTCTTTATTTGAAGATTCATATAACAATGTATGTATACTCGTATTATAGCAAAAAACCTTGTCATTATGTAGGTACATGTGTGTCACATTTATCTTAGAGAAATTAGAGTACTACATACCAAATGCCTGCCAATCGTAATTCGGTATAAAATTCATAAAAATTATTTATTATATAGTAACATTAACATAGATTTTTCCAAAATTATACCCATTTCAACACTAAAATTTTCTCCAAACAATCGGTTACATATTTTATTTTTAAGTTTTTAGAGATCTTCTGTGATATGTCAATGCCTCTTTATTTATAATTTATACGAAAGAGAAATAGTGTTGTTATAGACTTTTTCTGATTGTTGCAAATATCTTAAAGACTTCACTTTCATAGAGAGTCATAAACCATGACTATGTAACACCAAGATAGAATATGTAATTGACAGTCATAAATATAAAACAATGTCCGGTTAGCTTAGTCGACATAAAGTGTACAAATATTTTTACCATAATTGATATTAAATAAAAATGTATTTGCACAACTCACAATTAATAATGCTACGTTTAAATTTTAAATGCACTCGAGAACGCAACCATTAAGAAATGGCGGGTGTAATGCACGCAAATGTGCAAAAAACTTCGTAGAATAGGGTTCGGGAAATATTTTAGCTCAACGTATTTCTGTATTGCAGACTCATTCAGGAACTGCTTAATTATAACCATAAAGAGTACATAATATTGATATTTAAATAATTCGCACGATACCTTTAAATTTACCATTGGAGAATCATCACGATGCCAAATAAAACGTTATGTTTTACCAGATTAATAAATATAATATATACGCTATGTTCGTTACAATATGGGGTATATCTCATGATCATGCAACGACTCCTTAATCAGATAACATCGTAAGACGTGATATACAGTCGCCCACAAATTGGATCACGGCTCATTTGTCATTTGATACGTGATCGGTACAGTACGTAAAGCTTTTGTGCACATGTCTTGATGTAATTCAATTGGTAGAGATTGCATTGTAATAGTCCTCGACTTCAATTACAAATTACACTTGATTAAACAATTGCAATTCATGAATTGAGTCATGTCCAACATATTACTCCTCTAAGCAAAACTGAAAATAATTCATATTTCTTTAACTGTCCGGAATTCAGGTGCTAAAAAGCAATAAACTTACTAATATATGAACTACGCTGACATCCAGTAAAGATTGAAAGATGTTAATACTTTTTTTAGAAAAACCAAAGTTGGCCTATAATTTCTCAAGCTTCGAAGTATTTTAAGATGTAACAAAACTTATGCCTTTCTTCACAAGAATATCCAGTTTTACGTCGACATTCATTGATCATTCTTTATAAATTACCCTAACACAGAAAACGAACGCGTTTGTACTTCTATTATCCAAATAGGTATTCCATAAACTCAATTTAGTGACAAAAGATAACGCGAAACGAAAGTAAACAAACGTTTTAAATATTCATAATCTCATTTAGGGTACGCAAATTGTGGCGCAGACGCCCTTTCAGCTAGATTACTCCATATCTTCAATAGCAATTCCCCACGCGATTTCGATATTGCGGTTTTGTACCACGTAACTCCAATAGACCTGCGATAGCGGAGTAAGTAACTCAAAATTCAGGTTAGATGACAGAATTATTGGAATCGGCATTAACGCAAATGTTTTACGTCTATTTCGATTCCAGTATCTGCGCCTTTACTCAATTACTTCTAATAGCGATAGCAATTTTGATCGGAATCATCCTGTAGTCCTAAAGGGCCCCAGCTCATCTCGGGCTATTTTGGCAAGCATAGCTCTGCAGGATCTGAACTTCCCACATGGGCGTGTCCTGCGAGACTCGGACCTCAGCTTGGGCCTTCGAGGAGGATCAATCGCCTGAAGGTCAGGACGGAAGCTCACTGGAGTGAGTGAAGAACGAAGTAAGGGACCTCGCCCTCCCCGGTAAAAGCGAAAGAGATACTGATCCCAATATTTTTGTATGCAAGTTCGATGTAGGTAGTTTTCACAATATCCGTAGCGGTGAGTCGACCTTAGGATCGCGCGGAACAAAATCAGTGTCGCTATTAGAGTTCAAGGGCTCTGAATACACGATACTACTTGTGTCGTCGGGAGTCAAACCAAGGACCTTCATTTGCACCTTTGCTATAACTTCTTTAGTGGCTTCTAACGCTGGCAGTGATAATAAATTAATTGCGTTGCGAAGAATAAGTTTCAAAGTATTCAAATGTAAAAATGTTTTTCTATGAATAGATGTCATCATTACATTCTAGTGGCAATCAAAACCAATTACCTAGGTACTTGAAATTTTCATTTATATTTTATAACGACGTTTTTTCATAAAATTTTAACGGCACTCTAATAAATTGATGAATGACATTGAAACGCAACTTACAGATTTAAAATACCTTTTTAATTCAATTGAGATAGCATTGTGGTTTTTGCTTTTTATATGTTTGTTTGTCTACATAAAGACTTCATCGAAATCTGTATTATTAAAGCTTTATTAATTAATCTATACAATATTGTTTAGCTTACATTTCTTTAAGTATTAGTTGTAGTATAAGTTCTAAAAATTAAGTTTTATTAGTGTTCTAGTATTTATAACATGGTGAATGGTTGCAGCTCCTTACAAACGTTGTGTAAAACTTGGCGATTAGAAAGAGTGTCGGAGAGTTTATTGCCAGTTCTTCTCTTCCATTCTACGCCCTTGATTTGAGAACTGGCAGTAAATGTAAAATTAGAAGCATTTCATATATATTTATTTCTTGACCTTCATAAGTGTACATTGTGTTACCTATATGAATAAATGATTTTGACTTTTGACTTTGACTAGGGGAGACCGGGTACAAAAGTAACACTTTGTACTTCACACTTGATTTGTGGCCAGGTTTTAATATTGTCATTAAATTAATATAACCATATATAAATTCAGTTTATGTTCTTTACACTAGCAGCTCGTTTTTTTACTATGGTGTGTTTTATATGAATAAAGAGAGTTAAAAAAATCATAGTTTTACTTTGACCA